GTGTATTTTTAGCAGCCGTCGACCGAAGACAAACAGCCGTGCAAGTGTTCGTTTTACAAGCCATCATTATTTTCCACATAGTCATTCAACAGGGGTGCATTTCAACTGCAAAAAAATGTCACAAAAATAGAAATTAGATTATTTAGTTAAAAAATAAGAGTAATGAAAAAATTAAATTGAGTGAACAACTTTTGAACAAAATCTTTTGCAACAAAATTCAAGTATCAATCAAGTTTCTTTACTATTTGTGTTAAAATTTGACAAATTTACTTTCGAATAATTTGAAAATTTTCATATTTTTTTGCCTGACCTGAATTTTGTATATTAGAAATTTTAATCAAACATATTTAAAAGTGTTTCTGCTGTCAAGAGCAACTTTCGTTTTCTTTTTGTTCTTGTAAATTTATTTGGACGTTGCATCAAAGTGTTAGATTTGCGTGTATTAGTTATTGACAGTGCACTCGAGAGTCGCGGCCTTGTTTGCCCTCGCACCGTGCGTGCGCTGCTCTTTTATTTATTCAAATGCAGGTGCGACCTCTCTCGAAAAATTCCAGGTGCGTTGCCTACCACGGCTGTACCATTTCAAATACTTTTTTCTTTCGAGAGCAAGAGCAAAAGCGTGCTCGCCGTCTGTATTATTTCCATCAATGCGTGAATGCGTTTCCGACCCACCCCAACCGGAATCGGGGCGCGATCCGCTTGCGAGAAGTAGTGTGGCGTGGAGCTTCTAGATTTAATGAGAGTGAGGCATGAAACCCTCGACTCTCTGCTGCACAGCTGCCCGACAATTCACAAATTGGAAAAATGATGGGATCTTAGGGGGCTCATGTATCTGAACGTGTCTTGACTAAAATTGGAATTATACAAAGGGCATTTGTGTCGCTTGCACTTCAGAAAATGTGCATTCGCATTTTGGAATTAGTTAAACTTCAATGATTAACCAGTGAGTAAAGCTTAAATAACTTATAAAAATAAATTATATAATTGTAATATCAAGAGAGATAAAATATTATGCAATTTTAAATAATATTAAATATATAATATAAAATGAATTTAAAAATTATTTTTAATATAATTTTTTGAATTTTTTAACTGTTTTATTTTATAAATTTTATGAAACAATTAACTATTTTGTGTCAGTTTCTTACACTTTTACAGAATATAAATTCTTCTCCTATCGCGTACATATATAATTTACTAGTTGTAAAAGTAATTTAATTTAGCAAAGTCCTTGATGGCCCACAGTTAATATTAATTTTTAATATTAAAATTTATAAAAAAGTGAATTATAGTAAACAAATCTTTAAAAGCAAATCACATCAAGCAAGTAGAATCACTTGACAGGCTGGTTACTTTTCATCAATTTAATGAAATTAGAAAAAATCGAAACGTGTTAAATATTAAATTATGTTTATTACAATTTAAATTAATTTTAAAATTAAACACTTTTTAATTCAAATTTGACAAACTGTAACTTTTTAGCCATTTAAACGCTTGTTAAACCCTTAATTAATAATTACAAGTCTTACTTACATAAATTAATGATAAAACAATCTTACAATTAGAGGAAAAATAGATTTTACTATGATTTTTTTAATTGAATTAGTCAAATTTTTTTATTTGGGTCAGGACATATACTTGACGATCAAACATACAATTTTTGCAATTAAATTTAAAGAGTAAGCAGTTTAAATTAAATAATAGTTATTCAGTTATAATAGTTTTTAATATAATTATCACACATATTTTTCTATGAATTGAATGTCCAATTGTCGTGATCGCATGCATAATTCTATATGAATTTTTTGTACCAAGTGACACATCGCAAAAATAAACAAGCTTTAAGTCTGCGCGCTTTCAACAGCGATACAGTTAAATCCTTCTGTATGTAAGTTTAAAGCGAGCGGGGAAGAAAAACGAGTCTCCTCGTGTGTTGTGTGTGGATTATTTATAAAAAACGGTCGGCGCACGTCAAATATTTCAAATCACAACAAAGAGGCCACCTATGGCGATGAAAGAACGTGCTGCGGCACAATGAAAAGGAGAGCATCCTTTTCGGCCGGAAAAACGCACGACCTGGGCCGAATACAAAAAGCTTAGCTGCTGATTGTGACTATTCACTCACCTACAGGCACAGCAAATTGGACTTAGCACCGCCGAGATAAATGTTTATCCAAACGGGCTCCTTTATATTTATAAACTCTTATTCGTGACAAAATTTCACGTCCCTAGCTGATTTTACAAAATCCTTTTAATTTTCGCAAGGAATTTTTATGGCCGATGACGCGTTGCTTTTCGGGCTGGATCTTGTCCATAATTAAAGGTGTGATGCAATTTGAAATTGTGGCCGCGGTGCCAAGCGAGTGATGTCATCAACTTTGAGGTGGTCGCCAAAAATCCGCTTCGTCCGTGCAGCTTCCAATCCTCACAGTTGTCGGCAAAAGCGATTCAATGAATTTTCGGTGTATTAAATAAATATTCACATGTAAAAATGTAAATAATTTTTATAAATTCAATAGACTAGTGTTAAAATTCCCAAATATAAGGTGAATTTTATAGTCTCAAATTTAGTTGAAAATTTTCAGTTTTAAGTCAAAATTCGCGATCAAACAAAAGAAATTAGATCTCATGTCAGACTTTTGTTAAGAAATCATTCATTGAAATAAATTAATGTATTTTCATTTCAGATTTTTAATATTTAATTTTTGATGAAACTGGTATTCACAGACCTCACAGAAAGCTCTTATTCAAAAGTAAAAGTTTTTCAGAAATTAAATAATTTTATTACACGTTTTGGTAAGCTTTATTCACTAACCTGTAATAAACTGCATGATGCAAAATGAAAATTTGAAAATTCAGAAAAATAAGATAAGAAAAAAAAAAAACAACTAGGCGATATATTTATTTATGTTTTGCGAATGACAGAAATATGAATTTGAATCAAAATTATTAAAGTTAAAACGATTGAATTTTAATGAATTTTGAAGCAAATCAATGAATAATACAATTAATATTCATAATTTTCTGTAGAAATTTTATGCACCAAGCCAAATTGAGTACAATTAAAAAAATATGAAATTAACAGTGTTTGAGTTCTGAAACTGTTTTGAATTGTCCTCGGTTATTGGCACAAACATGCGACGACGACGACTCGAATTTCAAAAATAAAGACGACCGTTTCGCAAGCAGCCTTACAACTATAGTTTCTTGCACTTTTTGTTTGGCACAAAGTGCGTCTTTCTTTTCTGTTTCCCAAGAACACGCACTTTGCCTCCGTCGCAGCAGTTGTGCCAATGAGGCGATTTTATCTGCGCTTGGCACCGCGACTAAAAAGGCAAACAATTCAAGGAATACATTTTTAATCATGGAATTTTCTCCCTTTCGCCACACATTTATCAGATGGGAATTGGATTTATTGGCTCGAGAATGAGATGTCACTCAAGCCGCGTGTTTTCGTTTGAGCATTACCGGCGGCACCAGATTAAAATTGGAGATTACTTTGGGAAAGAAAAGGAGCTCGTGCGCATGGGATTATGGTTGGCTCTCAACGCTGTCCGTGCATAAATTATGTGCCTAGCACGCATGAGTCAATCAGTTGCATGGGATTTGTGTCAGAAAAGGACGATGAGGGGAAAGAAAACATGTCGTGAATAATTTATCAACTTTGGTGACGTTTTTGCACGCGCAATAATAATGTACTTGTCGTTTTGTTATTGGCGCAAATTAAATAAACAATGAGCACAATCGAATTCAATTCACAATAGGAATACGTGGGCGATGCCAAATTCCGTAAATAAATTTTTTATTTTTATTAAATTTAAGTTAAGCAATAGCCATATACTTTTGTCTTTCAATTCGTTGTTTAATATTACTCCATATACTTTGAAAACAAATATTGGAGGAAATTCAAATGTAAAAAAAAAGATCTTTTCAAAAAACAAAAGTTTTGGTTATTTTATTATTTTATAAAACAATTTTACTATTATAACAAAAATTTATCTTCTTTTTTAGAAAAAAAATAAAATATTTGTAAATGAAGTAGTTTTTAAAGATCAGCGACGGTTATTAACATAAAACGGATGTGTCAATTCATTAGATTTATAAAAAGGAACAATATTCATGCTCTTTTTTTCTTTTTAATTAATTTTGTGCAAAATCTCCTAAAATCCGTATTGTCAAATTAGATCTATTTTAACAAAAACAGCTCAATTAATGAAAAAAAAATCCGTGTTTTGTCTCTTGAGATGAAATCACTTTAAACACATGTTGCCTCGGACACTCCCTATCATCATCCACCTGAGGAAAAAAACATAATTCCAATAAGCAAGGACACGTTCGGGACTCCTGATCTAATTACGCTGCTAATTATTGTCTCTCACTCCGTCTGTGCACCTCTCTCTCAGCAGATTTATATCTCCAAGTAGGTGGTCTCCTGCCTCTTTTCCCGGAGCTGCTTATACATTTTTTTTCTTATAAATTTTTTTATCCTTACATTCGATCGGTGTGCTTTTCATTCACGCGCTCTGGGGCCGTTCCTTGATTAAAAGATAATGCAAAAGCACCTCCTACTTTATATTGTTTCGTGCGCCCGCCGCCGCCGGTTTTTCATTATCACTCACACGAACCCCGTCTTTCTCGATTGCTCTTCCCAACAACAAACGTCGAGCCGCGCTCAAAGAGACGCGGATTTGTGCTGCCGTTGCAACCGGCCAAGATTTAATAGTGCCCGCCGATGAGAACAATAATAAATTGAGATTTTATCGGCCGACGGTAATTGAGACATCTCGACGGCGCCACTATTGTCTTATGCAAAAGCCGTGTGGAAACTTTCAAATGGACCCAAAATCAATAGACAATTCCAAAAATATTTGCAATCTTAATATCAAACAGAAATCACCAGAAACCATAGAACGCATAATAATTCATTGCAATCAATGTAGAAAAATCAATAACTGCAATTAAAAAAGATGTTACATCTTGGGTATTCTTAATTTTATGAAGATAAATAATGAAATATTTTTGCACCGATTAAAAAGTGGAAATTTATTCACAATTTTTTCCATCAAAATCTACACAATACATAACATTAATGCAAAAGCAAGGATTCTCATGCAACAATTTTGAAGACTTAGAAAAGCCAATATATTATAATTTTAATAATTACATGATGGAAGTATAAGTTATATGTAGACCGTACTATAACTATACATTAAATTGCGGGAAGTAAGTAGGGAAAATTTAAACCCCTAAATAGGTATATGTTCCGAAGAATTTTTTTTAAATATATTATTTAATCGATTTAATCCAATGCCAACTATAAAACTATAAATTTATATTTTTCAAAAAGACACACCTAGTGAAAAATAAAATTTACTGTGAAAAATGGTAATTAATAATGATTATTAGCACTTTCATTACCTTTTGCCCATTTAATAACATTCCTCTGGTACTTCGCAAATGAAAAATAATGGAAATGAGCAGTTACGGCCACTCAATGTTTTTGTTTTGTGAATACAATTGATTGATACACACTGACCATCAGCGTCTTTTCGTCCAAAGAGAGAACTGCTTTTTTCCAATGCTGTACCGTCGTGCCAGTGAAAATCAGTGCTCAAATTGCTTCTCCTTGCTGACAACCACCAAACCCAATCTGAAAGCATTTATTATATTGGAAAATCATTTTTCATTTATCTAAAGCTGAAGTTGGTTGTTATGAAATGCATAAGATGAGCGTGATTTTTTAATGATGCATTATTTGCGTCTTTAATCCTTTTTTGTAATTACTTTTTAGTCTTATTGTCTCATCCCAAACGGCATTTAAATCAGTCTGGTCCTTGATCGTGGCCAAATGCATCCCCAGTTGATGAGTGCATATCTCGTTAGCTTGCGTCCAATTGGCCTAATTTTATCAAAGCCTTAGAAATAAATTAAATTTCTTGTATGCAGCGCAAACTAACTAAATGGCGATACGTTGGGTAGGAAAAGAAATACTGCTTGCCGTTTGAAAGCGTCGTCAAGTTTTGAGTTCCTAGAAAACATGTATCACAGTAAAAGATTTAAAAAAGGAGTATATATTCAAATGAATATAACAATATGGAAATAAATTGCAAAAATGTGAAATTTTTACTTACGCCAAGCTTTATTGCATCTGCTGGCATTGAACTGAAAATTTTGTGAATTAATCAGTAATTATGTCGCAGTGAAAACATTATATCACGCTTTGTGATTTTCTGTCAAATTTACCAATTTATTTACAATCTGTCGTAACTCCGTGTTCTCATTTTTCAACTCCCTCAATTTTTCTTCTCCTTTGCTCACCTGTAATAGCATCATCGTAATTTTTATTTTTGAAATTTGCATTAATATTTGTTCATATTTCTGAATTTTCAGATACTTTAAAACCTATTGATCATATATATTATCGCACTATTTTTTAAGCTAAGCACTGATCTTACGCTGTTAGTAGATAGATAATGAAATGACAGGGTAATTAAATAATAATAAAAAAAATATAGACTAGGCTAACAATCTACCTTTTTTCACTTTTTTCGTCTGTTTTCGTCTTGCTTATTCTAAATATTTCTGCCAGCGGACTGTTAGTTTCAGAATCTTTCATTGCAGAAAGTAATATATATATATATTAATTAAAATCAAGAAAGTCGATTGGACTATCTTATATGGCTTTATATTGAAATTTCCAATTTTTTGCGGGTTTTCGTTGAGCTCTTAAAAAAATTGACAGAAACATTAGGTATAATATTAAATATGATAAACAATTTGATAAACGATATACGAGAATTCATGCAAGATCATATCAAATAAAAGAGGCACAAGAAATAAATAGTAAATCTACTCAACATGCATGATTTCATATTAAAAATTAAAATCTACTAGTATGAATAAACCTGGCTGATATAGGATGTGCGTGCCAAGGTTAACAAAAAGCTTGTGTTCTTAACACATTCTCAGATTGTATTTGAATTCAGAATATTCCCCTAGCCCAGTAAGTAGAATCAATTGAGAATTTTTCTTGTACACGTTACAGTTTCCGGTTGAGAAAATTAAATTTGTTCCTTAATCAATTAATTAGTCCAATCTTAATATAATTAGCCTTTTTATCCAATCCAGTCTTACCGAAAAATGTTGACTATAAAAAAAAAAATAAATATGAAGTGAGGATTTCATTATTTTGCTATGAAAAGAGTTGAAAAAAATATTGTTTTTCTGCCGTAAACACCACGTTAATTTAATTTTTTAAATTACATTTTAGCGAATCAAATATTACTTCTTTCCATCTATGCCTGATTATATTTCATCTAATATTCAACCTCTTTTATGTTATTCATAAGCATCTCATTTATTTTCTTGGGTTCACCCCCTCAACTTTTTCAATGGTCTAGTTCCAAAAATATTCATTTCTTTTTCATTTCTAGATTTTCTATTCTAAAAAATAGAGCCAAATTAATCTCATTGTTAGCGTACAAACCGCTTCAAAGATAATTCAATTTTGTGATTTTGAAATTGATTTTCGAACCTGACTGTTGGTCTGGTGGACGGTTTTTGTCAGTTGGTCCAGTCGTTCGTTGGTCGCGTTGGAAAATTTTGTCTGCTCCTCGTGATGCTCTTCCACTATCTTTCGGGACTCCACAGCCTGCAAAATTTGGGAAATGAGTAAAATAAGTAGTACATAGCTACTTAATTTGTAGAATCTCCAAGAATTCCAATTGAAATTTGAACCTGAGAGTAGACAAGTCTCATAAATCTGTCCAGCTTTTCATTCGTTTTGTTTAAATTCCTCAACATTATTTCCTGTTGATTCTCGGAATCTGGAGGCTTTAAAATGTATAAATGCCATTATTTGATCTATTTTTCATGACTTTTTATTATAGTTTATTATGTATAACTTAACTATATTATTATAATATTAAAATTAATAACTAAAAGCAAAGTAAAAAAAAAACAATTTAACCGAACTTTCTATTACCTTGGTCGAAGTTTGGCTGGCCAGGGTGGCGGCAACGAGCAAAACGAACATTAAGATCAAACGTGCCATCTTTCCACTATAGTTATTAAATTGTGTGTCGCTCTCGATTCGCAGCCGCGTTTATATCCCCTGCCTTTATCACTGCTCTTTTGCCCTTGCGACAAGGAAAGTATCAAACCAAAACTCGACTGAACTTTGCCTCTGATTCTTTGCCCTAATTGTAAGAAACATGATTAGCATTTATTTTCATCAGATTTTCATGATTATTTTGCATTTATTTTCCTTAAATTCAAATTACATAAATAATTAATTCAGTAAAAGACTGCATGCGCAATGTTTATTTGTATATTTTTGGCCTTATTAATGCACTGTAATAATAATAATAAATGTAGAAAAATGTAGAAAAAACGTGGGGACGAGTAATAGAAAGCCTATAGTAATTTAAAGAAGGGTATATCAAATTGATTTATTATACATATTTTTTTTTAACTCAGCTATTAGATTCACATGTCATTGAGATGTAATTTTTAATTATTTGAACATGAAATTTGATATCTCTAATAATTTTAAAATTTAGTAACATTGTCTCGTCAATAACAATCAGCAGGCAGTTCACATACAAAATACCATACGGTATTGCAGACAGTGGCAGAAAATTTTTTAACGCCGGCAGGAGTGTAAATATAGACACACTCTCCACCAGGTTGGATGAGTCTCCACGCTCCATGGTTACTTTCTGCTAGTAAGGTTTGATCATGCCAGTAAAAGTCAGTATGTCCATCACCTTTGGTATATTTTCTTGCTGATAACCACCAACCATTATCTGGAAAAATTATAATTTTTTTTTTTGTTAAAATTATTTTACATTTACTTAAATTATCACTCTGAATTGTTTTCGCCTCATTCCAAATAGCATCAAAATCAGCCTGGTCCTTAATCGTGGCCAAATTCATCCCCATTTGACGAGTGCATATCTCGTTAGCCTGTGTCCAATTTGCCTAAAATATAGCAAAACGATGCGTTAGAACAAAAATAATTGTCTTGGATGGAAACTGACTTCATACAGATGCGTTGGGTATGAAAAGAAATACTTCTTCCCGTTTGGCAATGTCGTCAAGTTTTGAGTTCCTGGAAAATTAACTTGTTACACACAATAAAACTTTTCAGGATTAATCTTCGTAAGAGTAAAATTGAGGACAATATAACATGCAATTGCAAATAATTCATTGGAAAATTGTAAAATTTTATACTTACGTACAATTTTATTGCATCTGTCATTCAACTGAAAATTTGCAAGCCATTTTATTAATCCTTCTTTATGTTCTGTAAAATCATATAAATTATCTCCTTTGGGTCTAGTTTGAGTTAATAGTTCCAAAAATCTTACAAATTTAAATAAAAAAATTTAGGTTTATATTGGTGCAAATATTAATCTAATTGTTATTTCAAAAATCATTTTGATTCTTCATCTACTAGTGGGTTTGAAAGATTTTTTTTGACCTGATCTTGAGTCTGGTTGACTGTTAAGTCTTGTTGGCCAGGTTTGTCGGTCGCATTGGATGATTTGAAATGCTGCTCCACCAGCTTCCGCAACTCCACAACCTGAGAAATTCAGGAAATTATTTATTTTCAATGCTTATTTTTTGTTACCTGATCGTTGGTCTCGTTGACAATTTTGGCTAGTTGGTCCAGTCGGTCGTTGATAGCGTTGGAACATTGTATCTGCTTCTCGTTATGCTCTTCAACCTGCAAATTTTGAGAAACATTCGATAAATAATAATTTATTTTTGAAAATCGCAAATTGAATTTCAAACCTCAATAGGTCCCGGTTCTTATTTGTTTTGTTCAAATTTAACATTTCCTTTATCAAATTGCTGTTAGTGTGCGTGTGGGTTTTTTTTTCTTTTCTAATAATGTCTTTTTTGTGTTGTAAAGTGTAAAACAGTTTCAGGGTTTAATTTTTAAGAGGTTTAAGTCAAGATTATGGTATATATTCCATTCTTTAAAGCCAAGTTTTTCTCGCACAGATTCGGTAAAGCCACGTAAAAACCTCTTAAAATTTAAACATTCCCTGTGAGGCATGAAATAGATTGTTAATTTTTTAGATAGTCGTTTCATCTCTTTTTTTATCGTAATTAAATTGAAAAAACCTAAATTTTGGCACAATAATAATCAGTATCTTGTGTGTTGACTTGATTTTTATATATTTTAATTATCAATGTCAGTAATTACCTTACGGATTCGAAATTATTCAAAATTTTCTTTAAAATCAAATTGCCAGTGATTGCTGACAAAGTGAGTCAAAATAATATGAAGACGTTAATTGAATTTTCGAGCACCTTGGTCGAAGGTTCGTTGGCCAGGGCGGCGACGACGATCAAAACAAGCATGAAAATGAAACGTGCCATGGTCTGTCTCTCCACGTCATTAAATTTAGTGTCGCTCTAAGATTCGCAACCGCTATAGTTTTATCCCCTGGTTTTATCACTGCCCTTTGCCCGCCGCGACAAGGATGATTAGAAATTTCAAACAAACAAGATCAACTTGACCTCACATTTTTCTCCTAATAGTAAAAGACAGACTTATTGTTTTAAATTTATTTTCTTAATATTTGCTAATAGCAAAAATATTACTTGAATGTCATAAATTGCTTGTAAATTAATAATATTACTATGCAAACGGTTCTCATTAAAACATTTTTACATTTCCATGCTTCCACACGCTTCAATAATAACGGATGCATAAATATTTAATTTATAATCACATTTTTTTACATTAAATTGCTTAAATTGCGACCCGCCGGCCGCCACATATGTTCAAATATATTTAATGCAATTAAAAAATGTAACTTATATAATACGTTATTTTTCTGACAAAATTATTTCGGAAATTTATATTAATTATTTAGTTACAAATTGTGCTTATTAATGTACCACCGGGCATTCTCTGCATTATTTAGATCATTCAGTTTCATTCAGTTTATTGCCTAGTTAATAACATTCTGCTGGTAGTTCGCAAATGAAATAGTATGGAAGTGAGCAGTCAAGGCCACTCAATGTTTTTATGTTGTGATCATAATTGATTGATACACACTGGCCATCAGTGTCTTTTCGCCCAAAGAGAGAACTGCTATTTTCTAATGCTGTACCGTCTATTAGACAAAAAACAATTAAACAAAATCAGTTTTATAGGGCTGATTAAACGGAAGCATCTAATATTTTAAAGTAGAGCTAACTGTAGCTAACATTTCACGAAATTAAATTTATTTTAGTTTTGGTTCTTTGACTATTAGATTTATTTAACATAGTGATGCGAATTATTATCATTAGAATGATAAATTGAACCAACAATGATAAAACTTTTAGTCTAATTCGGTCTTATTGTGGATTTTTTAAGACTAGTCAATATAGCACTCAGCAGGCAGTTCACATACAAAATGCCATTGGGTATTGCAGCGTACGGCAATAAATTTTTTAGCATTGGAAGTATTGTCAATACAGACACACTGGCCATCAGAATGAATAGAATGCCACGCACTTCTGTTACTTTCTGGTAGTGCGGTTTGATCGTGCCAGTGAAAGTCAGCACGTCCTTCGCCCTTGTTATATTTCCTTGCTGATAACCACCAAACATGATCTGAAAGCATTTTTGAAATTTAGTTTTAATGATAGTTGAATACGCCTTTGAATGATGCATTTTTTGCATCTTTAAGCCTTATTTGTAATTACTTTTTATTTTTCTAGCCTCATCCCAAACGACATTTAAATCAGTCTGGTCCTTGATCGTGGCCAAATGCATCCCCAGTTGATTAGTGCATATCTCGTTAGCTTGCGTCCAATTGGCCTAATTGAGTTAATATTAAAAAAACGATGCATTAGAAATATGAGAATTAGATTAGCCATGGACTGACTTTATCCTGATACGTTGGATAGGAAAATAAATACTGCTTGCCGTTTGAAAGCTTCGTCAAGTTTTGAGTTCCTGGAAAATTTAAGTGCAACGCAGGTTTAAACAAATCATAATTAATCATTTGCTGTATGAGTAAAATTAAAGCAGATTACAAATTCAGGAAATAAATTAAAGAAAAAATGTGACATTTATTTATACTTACGAGCATTGTGGCATCTTGCATTCAGAAACTGAAAATTTCCAAGCTTTTTAATCAGTATTTTCACTGTTATTATCCGATTATATCACCTTTTGATGACGTTGCGTCAAATTTACTAATTCATTTACAATATTCCGTAGTTCTATGTTTTCATTTTTCAGCTCCTTCAATTTGTCTTCTCCTTTGCAAACCTAATATAGCATTATTATTTTTTTGACATTTTGCTCAATTTTTTTTTTTTATTTAATCTATATGGACGTATATTGTAACACATCTTACAATTTGTTAGAAAATTATTCTATTTAAATTATTCCAAAAATGAAAATTTACTCACCCTGGTTGCGCACAAATAGTAATTGAGAAACGAGGTGGAAAGTATATAAAGCATAGCGACGAGGCCAAATATCGTCCACAAAACAGCCAACGAGCAACATTTTTTCTTCAATTCCACTTGTTTTTTGTGAACTCTCTTTGGCAGCGGAATTCTGCTACTTTGAGAACTCTCCATAGCAGAGTGAATTTTTTCTAGCTAATTCTGAGGAAGTCGATCGGCTAAGCTGGTGTTTCAGTAAAAGTTTCCACTTTTTGCGGTTTTTCCTTGAGCTTTTATCAACAAATTGAATCACTCGTCACATTGAACTTTGATTAAAAAAATACAGCAAAATGTGTTATAAATCATTATCAAAGAAATATAATATATGAAAACGAGGTACTTTAAATTAAGTAACTCTGCTCTATATGATTCCACACAAAATTAAAATTCAATGAAATGCATTATTTACTTTAATTTCCCCCAAGACCAATTAATTTTATTAGAACTTAGTTCATGTTCAATTATAGCTGTTTGATATTTGATTAAATTTTATCACACAATTTTATTTAAATTCTGACGCTATGATCAATAATAATTGAGAATCTGCACCACAGCTTAAAGTGACAATCAATTTGAAACATACATATATAATTATTTCCCACCATTCAAGCTTTTTTATTTGATAGTTTTTCTTAACTTTATTATAATGTATAGAAAAATTCTATATTCAGCAAGGAAGTAAGATATTTTAGAAGGAAATTTTATCCTGATAAAACAATCTTTTCTTAGACTTCATTTCAGTCACAGAGATTAACTAAAAATATCTTGAACTCCTTATAACTTACTGCAAAAAATAGTTAAAACTATGCTCTTTGTCAATTCTAATGAAGTATATCGAGATTTATTTCTAAAAAAATTACATTGTTGCCACATGACAGTAATGAAAAAAGAAAAGAAAAACAAAGTTATAAGAAATTGCAATATTTTTGAAATAATAATAAGTAATTGCTGTGAATTTTGGTCAAACTTTTACAAGTTTTCCATAGAATAATGTAATAAGAAAGGAAAGAGATGATCTGTATCCTTGTCCTATTTTGATAAGAGTCCAGAGATGCGTTTCTCCAGAAGAGTCAAAGCACTCGTCAAAAAGCCATAAAACTCGCCAGTTTCAAAAGTATAATGCAGCTGCGTTGATGCTCTCACGTGTGTTATGCTTTTACGATGTGTACGTTTTTCGTATGCACAAAGCGATGACGTTATTTTTACACACAACACGCGGCTGTGTGTTTTGTTTTGTGCGCATTTAATTCTGGCCGTTGCGAGGCTCTCGTGATGAGGTAAGGGTGCACTCCCGCGCGCGATTATTTCATTCAGCAACGCCGAGCCGGAGACAAGCACATATTATATTCAGCAGTGCAGCAGGAAACGGGCACTTGTTCCCAAGATAATCATCGCAATAATAAAACCATACGCGCTTTGGAGCTCAGGAGCGCCTCATTCTCTCTCCGGCAAGAAAATAAAAATAATATACTTACGATGGAGCAGCATTTACATACATAGATGCAGACAGGCTGAATTATTGTTGCGCTTTGGCGAGAAACGCCCAGTCGTAATTAAAAGAGAAATATTTTATTCCTTCCTTTGCCTTTGCTAACCGTTTTCTTACTGAGATAAAAATATATTTGAATATGACGGAATAATATAATTGATCTTTTTTGCTCTCTTATTTTTTATATTAAAAAATCATTAAAATTTTTAAATTGTTGCACTTGATTCGCAGAAAAGAAACATTAGTAGCCCGACTTGAATTTTAAATACAGTATTTTTAAAATCATTATCATTATGTTAAGTTTTTATCAAATTTTTATTTTTCTCTCCAAATTTTTAATTTTTATGCAGGAAATTATTTCAGTTGCAATATAAAAATCACGAAAAGAGAATAAAAATGATTTGTTAAAAGCAGCTATATTTAAATTTAGGAAACAAAATCTTCATTGAAAATTATTATGATCAACTTTCGCTCACCAAGTAATTTTTTTTAAGAGAAAAGCAAAAAAAAATTGATGGAAATTTGTTAGTTTTAATTTCTTATTTAAAAATATTCTGATATCAAAATCTGCTTGCGTAAAATTTTTGAGATAAATTACTTGCCGAGCAGAAATTTCAAAATGCTAACAAGATGTAATTTTAAAACTGTCGTAGACCTGGAGATTTGATCAAAATTATACGAGAGACCAATCAAGTTTTCAGAAGCATGTGTGAAAACTCGATGCCCCAGGGACGAATTAATTTTCGATCCAATCATCGATAAATAAATATTAATTTATCGCATCGGCACGTTGAAAGGAGCAATTTTTCACAGCCAATTACTGGCGTCGAGGTGCCACAAGTAAAACAGGACACTCGTCGCCTAATTGGTCGTAAATATAAATTTTAACTGCAATTTTGGTCCCGTTGCATAAATTAAACCGGACCTTTAAAAAAAAACTAACCAGAAGAAATCACGACCTCTGTGAAATACATAATTGAGAGCTAATCTAATTCGTGATTTATGAAAATGGAACTTTCCTTGCTCATGTTTATTGCACGCATCCTGCTGTTTTACGCACACATTGAAATCATATAGAATTATGCACAAGGCATTAAATTCAATTTTTAAACCAGTTCTGATTGCAATTTCCATTCAATTTGTTCCCAATAAAGATATGCAAATGTGGTTTGTTATTTCAGTAGTAACTTTTTTTTAATATATTTGCCATTTACGAAGCCGTTGGGGGTCGCGTTTAATGGTGTACGTATCCGTTGCTCCAATTAAAACGGTTTCAAAAGCTAGACCACCTCATAAAAGAGAACTGTCCATTTGAATTTCGTCTGGATTATATTTGCAGAGCGTGCCTGGGCCAAACCAGATCACCGGTGATAATAGTCTCATTAAATAAGGTACATGTGTGGTTTTACAAGTAGAGAAAAAATTTCAAATTATCTTTATCAAAGAACACCGATCAAACTGACCATATGCACCAATAAAAGTGTGAGAAATGTCGCGCTGTTTGCTTTGGCACTAATCAGATTATTTCTCTCGAATTTCCAAGTTTGATTTTTCTGCCGAGCTCTTTTTATCATTTCATCAGGCCGAAAACGCTTTTGGTCAGTCGTACAATATGTT